ATGATGAGACAGAGACACAGACCTCCTGTAGACCAGGCGAGGTTGTTAACATCTCATAGCCACCATGGTGATGATGATGAGAGAGAGACACAGACCTCCTGTAGACCAGGCAAGGTAGCTAACATCTCATACTCACCGTGGTGATGATGAGAGACACAGACCTCCTGTAGACCAGGCGAGGTAGTTAACATCTCATAGTCACCGTGATGATGATGAGACACAGACCTCCTGTAGACCAGGCGAGGTAGTTAACATCTCATAGTCACCGTGATGATGATGAGACACAGACCTCCTGTAGACCAGGCGAGGTAGTTAACATCTCATAGTCACCGTGATGATGAGAGAGACACAGACCTCCTGTAGACCAGGCGAGGTTGTTAACATCTCATAGCCACCATGGTGATGATGATGAGAGACACAGACCTCCTGTAGACCAGGCGAGGTGGTTAACATCTCATAGCCACCGTGATGATGAGACACAGACCTCCTGTAGACCTGGCGAGGTAGTTAACATCTCAGTCACCGTGATGATGATAGACACAGACCTCCTGTAGACCAGGCGAGGTAGTTAACATCTCATAGTCACCGTGATGAGACACAGACCTCCTGTAGTCCAGGCGAGGTAGTTAACATCTCATAGTCACCGTGATGAGACACAGACCTCCTGTAGACCAGGCGAGGTAGTTAACATCTCAGTCACCGTGATGAGACACAGACCTCCTGTATACCAGGCGAGGTAGTTAACATCTCATAGTCACCGTGGTGATGATGAGAGAGAGACATAGACCTCCTGTAGACCAGGCGAGGTAGTTAACATCTCATAGTCACCGTGGTGATGATGAGAGAGACACAGACCTCCTGTAGACCAGGCGAGGTAGTTAACATCTCATAGTCACCGTGGTGAGACACAGACCTCCTGTAGACCAGGCGAGGTAGTTAACATCTCCTGGTGCCGCTAAAGGTTGACCTTGGACAGGAAGAGCACGACGTGGATTGATGAGGCTGCTCAATGCGGCATCATCATCATCACCATCACCCGAGCTTGTCAGTGCAGATTGTATTACCACCACCACCACAACCAGTACACTGAGAAGAGAGATGCCCCTGTAGTTGTTACAATCACCAGGGGGGCATCATTCCAATGGAGCCGAACCCCTCCTGTGGCCCAGCCGTTTGTGACAATGTCACGTGGGGCACACAGACGCCACCCTCCCTCAGCATTTCGCTTGGGAGATCGTCTCTACCCGTCTCTGCCCGGCGCTTTTCCTCGTCCCAAGACTCCGGATCGCCCCTCACACTTCCTCCACAGATGGCACCTCAGCCAACCAATCACAAGGGGTGGCTACTTGTGTCAATGTTTGAGGCACCGCAGCCCACCAACACCACCACCAACACAACACCACTACCAACATCACCATCACAACACCACCACAACACCACCACTACCAACACCACCATCACCAACACAACACCACCACTACCAACACCACCATCAACACCACCATCACCAACACAACACCACCACCAACACCACTACCAACACCACCACCAACACAACACGACCACTACCAGCACCACCATCACCAACACCACCACCACCACCAACACAACACCACCATCACCAACACCACTAGCAACACCACCATCACCAACACAACACCATCACTACCAACACCACCATCACCAACACAACACCACCACTACCAACACCACCATCACCACCACCAACACCACCACAACACCACCACTACCAACACCACCATCACCAACACAATATCACCAACACAACACCACCACCATCACCAACACAACACCACCATCACCAACATCACCAACACCACCACCACCAACACAACACCACCAACACATCACCACCAACATCACCACCACCAACACAACACCACCACCACCAACACAACACCACCATCACCACCACCAACACAACACCATCACCAACACAACACCACCATCACCACCACCACCAACACAACACCACCACCACCACAACACCAACATCACCAACACAACACCACCATCACCAACACCACCAACACAACACCACCACCACAACATCACCAACACAACACCACCAACACAACACGACCAGCACGCAGAGTGAATGACGACGCAGAGATTCCTCAATTAAAATCGAACTTTTACTGCAATGAGAGCCGTGACGAGGTGGTGATCGATTACCACGACTGACGAGGTGGTAATCGTTTACCACGACTGACGAGGTGGTGACCGTTTACCACGACTGACGAGGTGGTGATCGTTTACCACGACTGACGAGGTGGTAATCGTTTACCACGACTGACGAGGTGGTGATCGATTACCACGACTGACGAGGTGGTAATCGTTTAGACTGACGAGGTGGTGATCGATTACCACGACTGACGAGGTGGTGATCGATTACCACGACTGACGAGGTGGTGATCGTTTACCACGACTGACGAGGTGGTGATCGATTACCACGACTGACGAGGTGGTGATCGATTACCACGACTGACGAGGTGGTGATCGATTACCACGACTGACGAGGTGGTGATCGTTTACCACGACTGACGAGGTGGTGATCGATTACCACGACTGACGAGGTGGTGATCGTTACCACGGCTGACGAGGTGGCTATGCTAATGAGATGCTAATGAGATGCTAATGAGGAGTGAACGTCCGCTGCTGGTTGCTGCACTGCCCCCCAGCGGTGGCCGGGAAGCTCGCGGCCACGACCAACGGCACGGTCGGCGTTGTGGTGGTCGTGGAGACGGTGAGTCGCCGGTGAGTCGCCGGTGAGTCGCCGGTGAGTCGCCGGTGAGTAGCCAGTCAGACGGTGAGTCGCCGGTGAGTCGCCGGTGAGTCGCCGGTGAGTCGCCGGTGAGTCGCCGGTGAGTCGCCGGTGAGTCGCCGGTGAGTCGCCGGTGAGTAGCCAGTCAGACGGTGAGTCGCCGGTGAGTCGCCGGTGAGTCGCCGGTGAGTCGCCGGTGAGTCGCCGGTGAGTCGCCGGTGAGTAGCCAGTCAGACGGTGAGTCGCCGGTGAGTCGCCGGTGAGTCGCCGGTGAGTCGCCAGTCAGCCGGTGAGTCGCCGGTGAGTCGCCGGTGAGTCGCCGGTGAGTCGCCGGTGAGTCGCCGGTGAGTCGCCGGTGAGTCGCCGGTGAGTCGCCGGTGAGTCGCCGGTGAGTCGCTGGTGAGTCGCCGGTGAGTCGCTGGTGAGTCGCCGGTGAGTCGCTGGTGAGTCGCCGGTGAGTCGCTGGTGAGTCGCCGGTGAGTCGCTGGTGAGTCGCTGGTGAGTCGCCGGTGAGTCGCCGGTGAGTCGCCGGTGAGTCGCTGGTGAGTCGCCGGTGAGTCGCCGGTGAGTCGCCAGTCAGCCGGTGAGTCGCCGGTGAGTCGCCGGTGAGTCGCCAGTCAGCCGGTGAGTCGCCGGTGAGTCGCCGGTGAGTAGCCAGTCAGACGGTGAGTCGCCGGTGAGTCGCCAGTCAGCCGGTGAGTCGCCGGTGAGTCGCCGGTGAGTAGCCAGTCAGCCGGTGAGTCGCCGGTGAGTCGCCGGTGAGTCGCCGGTGAGTAGCCAGTCAGCCGGTGAGTCGCCGGTGAGTCGCCGGTGAGTAGCCAGTCAGCCGGTGAGTCGCCGGTGAGTCGCCGGTGAGTAGCCAGTCAGCCGGTGAGTAGCCAGTCAGCCGGTGAGTCGCCGGTGAGTCGCCGGTGAGTAGCCAGTCAGCCGGTGAGTAGCCAGTCAGCCGGTGAGTCGCCGGTGAGTCGCCGGTGAGTAGCCAGTCAGCCGGTGAGTCGCCGGTGAGTCGCCGGTGAGTCGCCGGTGAGTAGCCAGTCAGCCGGTGAGTCGCCGGTGAGTCGCCAGTCAGACGGTGAGTAGCCGGTGAGTCGCCGGTGAGTCGCCAGTCAGACGGTGAGTCGCCGGTGAGTCGCCGGTGAGTCGCCAGTCAGACGGTGAGTCGCCGGTGAGTCGCCAGTCAGCCGGTGAGTCGCCGGTGAGTAGCCGGTGAGTCGCCGGTGAGTAGCCAGTCAGACGGTGAGTCGCCGGTGAGTAGCCGGTGAGTCGCCGGTGAGTAGCCAGTCAGACGGTGAGTCGCCGGTGAGTCGCCGGTGAGTCGCCGGTGAGTCACCGGTGAGTAGCCGGTGAGTTGGTACATCAAGGAGCCAGTGAGCTGGTATACCGGTGAGCCAGTAAGCTGGTGAGGAGGCGGTGGTGAGGTGGCGGTGGTGAGGAGGCGGTGGTGAGGAGGCGGTGGTGAGGAGGTGGTGGTGAGGAGGCGGTGGTGAGGAGGTGGTGGTGAGGAGGCGGTGGTGAGGAGGCGGTGGTGAGGAGGTGGTGGTGGTGAGGAGGTGGTGGTGGTGAGGAGGCGGTGGTGGTGAGGAGGCGGTGGTGGTGAGGAGGCGGTGGTGGTGAGGCGGTGGTGGTGAGGAGGTGGTGGTGGTGAGGGGGCGGTGGTGGTGAGGAGGCGGTGGTGGTGAGGAGGCGGTGGTGGTGAGGAGGCGGTGGTGAGGAGGTGGTGGTGAGGAGGCGGTGGTGAGGAGGCGGTGGTGGTGAGGGGGCGGTGGTGAGGAGGCGGTGGTGGTGAGGGGGCGGTGGTGGTGAGGAGGCGGTGGTGGTGAGGAGGCGGTGGTGGTGGTGAGGAGGCGGTGGTGAGGAGGAGGCGGTGGTGAGGAGGCAGTGGTGGTGGTGAGGAGGCGGTGGTGAGGAGGCAGTGGTGGTGGTGAGGAGGCGGTGGTGAGGAGGCGGTGGTGAGGAGGCGGTGGTGGTGGTGAGGAGGCGGTGGTGAGGAGGTGGTGGTGGTGAGGAGGAGGCGGTGGTGAGGAGGAGGCGGTGGTGAGGAGGCGGTGGTGAGGAGGCGGTGGTGGTGGTGAGGAGGCGGTGGTGGTGAGGAGGCGGTGGTGAGGAGGAGGCGGTGGTGGTGAGGAGGCGGTGGTGGTGAGGAGGCGGTGGTGAGGAGGAGGCGGTGGTGAGGAGGCGGTGGTGGTGAGGAGGCGGTGGTGGTGAGGGGGCGGTGGTGGTGAGGAGGCGGTGGTGGTGGTGAGGAGGCGGTGGTGAGGAGGAGGCGGTGGTGGTGAGGAGGTGGTGGTGAGGAGGTGGTGGTGAGGAGGAGCTACTTCTTCTTGGTCTCCCGGCAGGCCACCACATATCTCTGTGCGACGGTGAGGGGTGGTGAGTAACCATCGGCGTAGGAAGTGTCCTCAAACAGCACTGAGTAGTCCTCCTGTGGCTAAACACACACAGGTCACCCGTGTGAGTGAGTGGCTGTGTGAGTGGCTGTGTGAGTGAGTGGCTGTGTGAGTGGCTGTGTGAGTGGCTGTGTGAGTGGCTGTGTGAGTGAGTGGCTGTGTGAGTGGCTGTGTGAGTGAGTGGCTGTGTGTGTGAGTGGCTGTGTGAGTGGCTGTGTGAGTGAGTGGCTGTGTGTGTGAGTGGCTGTGTGTGTGAGTGGCGGTGTGAGTGAGTGGCTGTGTGAGTGGCTGTGAGAGTGAGTGGCTGTGTGAGTGAGTGGCTGTGTGAGTGAGTGGCTGTGTGAGTGAGTGGCTGTGTGAGTGGCTGTGTGAGTGGCTGTGTGAGTGAGTGGCTGTGTGAGTGAGTGGCTGTGTGAGTGGCTGTGTGAGTGAGTGGCTGTGTGAGTGAGTGGCTGTGTGAGTGAGTGTCTGTGTGAGTGAGTGGCTGTGTGAGTGAGTGGCTGTGTGAGTGAGTGGCTGTGTGAGTGGCTGTGTGAGTGAGCGGCTGTGTGAGTGAGTGGCTGTGTGAGTGGCTGTGTGAGTGAGTGGCTGTGTGAGTGAGTGGCTGTGTGAGTGAGCGGCTGTGTGAGTGAGCGGCTGTGTGAGTGGCTGTGTGAGTGAGCGGCTGTGTGAGTGAGTGGCTGGCTGTGTAAGTGAGTGGCTGTGTGAGTGGCTGTGTGAGTGAGTGGCTGTGTGAGTGAGTGGCTGTGTGAGTGGCTGTGTGAGTGAGTGGCTGTGTGAGTGAGCGGCTGTGTGAGTGAGCGGCTGTGTGAGTGAGTGGCTGTGTGAGTGGCTGTGTGAGCGGCTGTGTGAGTGAGTGGCTGTGTGAGTGAGCGGCTGTGTGAGTGAGTGGCTGTGTGAGTGAGTGGCTGTGTGAGTGAGTGGCTGTGTGAGTGAGTGGCTGTGTGAGTGAGTGGCTGTGTGAGTGAGTGGCTGTGTGAATGAGTGGCTGTGTGAGTGAGTGGCTGTGTGAGTGAGCGGCTGTGTGAGTGAGTGGCTGTGTGAGTGGCTGTGTGAGTGGCTGTGTGAGTGAGTGGCTGTGTGAGTGAGTGGCTGTGTGAGTGAGTGGCTGTGTGAGTGGCTGTGTGAGTGAGTGGCTGTGTGAGTGGCTGTGTGAGTGAGTGGCTGTGTGAGTGGCTGTGTGAGTGAGTGGCTGTGTGAGTGAGTGGCTGTGTGAATGAGTGGCTGTGTGAGTGAGTGGCTGTGTGAGTGAGTGGCTGTGTGAGTGAGTGGCTGTGTGAGTGAGTGGCTGTGTGAGTGAGTGGCTGTGTGAGTGAGTGGCTGTGTGAGTGAGTGGCTGTGTGAGTGAGTGGCTGTGTGAGTGAGTGGCTGTGTGAGTGAGTGGCTGTGTGAGTGAGTGGCTGTGTGAGTGAGTGGCTGTGTGAGTGAGTGGCTGTGTGATTGAGTGGCTGTGTGAGTGGCTGTGTGAGTGAGTGGCTGTGTGAGTGAGTGGCTGTGTGAGTGAGTGGCTGTGTGAGTGAGTGGCTGTGTGAGTGAGTGGCTGTGTGAGTGAGTGGCTGTGTGAGTGAGTGGCTGTGTGAGTGAGTGGCTGTGTGAGTGAGTGGCTGTGTGAGTGAGTGGCTGTGTGAGTGAGTAGCTGTGTGAGTGAGTGGCTGTGTGAGTGAGTGGCTGTGTGAGTGAGTGGCTGTGTGAGTTAGTGGCTGTGTATGTGAGTGGCTGTGTGAGTGAGTGGCTGTGTGAGTGAGTAGCTGTGTGAGTGAGTGGCTGTGTGAGTGAGTGGCTGTGTGAGTGAGTGGCTGTGTGAGTGAGTGGCTGTGTGAGTGAGTGGCTGTGTGAGTGGCTGTGTGAGTGAGTGGCTGTGTGAGTGAGTGGCTGTGTGAGTGAGTGGCTGTGTGAGTGAGTGACTGTGTGAGTGAGGGGCTGTGTCAGTGGCTGTGTGTGTCAGTGGCTGTGTGAGTGAGTGGCTGTGTATGTGAGTGGCTGTGTGAGTGAGTGGCTGTGTGAGTGAGTGGCTGTGTGAGTGAGTGGCTGTGTGAGTGGCTGTGTGAGCGAGTGACTATTTGAATGACTACGTGAGTGAGTGACTGAGTGAGTGAGTGACTGAGTGAGTGAGTGACTGAGTGAGTGACTGAGTGCATGACCGAGTGTGTGACTGAGTCATTGAGCGACTGAATACCCTGTGCGGTGGAGCGTGGATGAGCGCGCGATAGAAGCAGGTGGTCTGTGGGTACAGCGCCAGCACCAACTGGTCTTTCTGGAATAGGGACTCGGGGTCGGTCTCCGGATTCGCCTTCCACTGAGGCAGCGGAATCACTCGGCGGCGAGACAGACTGTGACGTCTACACGGGGGGGACACGGTGAAAGGAGACATGGGTGAAACAGACTGTGCTGTCTATACACACACACAACACACACACATACACACACATACACACACAGACACACACACAGACACACACACAGACACACACACAGAGACACACACACACAGAAACACACACACAGAAACACACACAGACACACACACACAGACACACACACAGACACACACACAGACACACACACACAGAAACACACACACACACAGACACACACAGACACACACACAGAAACACACACACAGAAACACACACACACAGACACACACAGACACACACACAGAAACACACACACAGAAACACACACACACAGACAGACACAGACACACACACACACACACAGACACACACAGACACACACACACAGACACACACACACACAGACACACACACACAGACACACACAGACACACACACAGACACACACACACAGACACACACACACAGACACACACACAGACACACACTTACTCTTTCCCTTCTTCATCTATGTCGTCCACCTCGTACCTGCGGGAGACACAAACACACAGAGAGCCTCGCTCGTACTCTCTGGCGTGGGGGGGAGGGAGGCGGGGAGGGGTCGAGCGTGTCTGAATGTGTTGTCTGTGTGTTGTGTGTGTGAGTGTGTGTCTCTGTGTGTGTGTGAGTGTTTGTGTGTGTCTGTGTGTCTCTGTGAGTGTGAGTGTCTGTGTGTGTGAGTGTCTCTGTGTGTGAGTGTCTGTGTGTGTGAGTGTCTCTGTGTGTGTGTGTGAGTGTGTGAGTGTCTCTGTGTGATTGTCTCTGTGTGAGTGTGTTTCTTACCATCAGCCCCACCAAAACTAAGCACTTGCCTGGGTATTTTGTACCATCGGACACTCCACCCCCACAACTCCCAATCGGTGATGGGGCAGTTGTGGAGAGAGTGGAGAGTTTCCCATACCTGGGCAGTGTGCTTATGACTGGCTCCAGTTTAACAGCAGAGGTCTCACTCCGAATCAGTCGAGCGGCAATATCTTTTCTCCCTCTCTCCCCCCCTCCCTCTCCCCCCCTCCCTCTCCCCCCCTCCCTCTCTCACTTCTCCCCCGGCTTGCCGATCCACAGGGGCAGGGTGAGGGCGGACTGCTGGAGGATCGTCAACAACGGAGGGCGGAGGAGCGACGCTCACAACAACAAGCGGAGCGCCGGGTGGCTAAAGCACAGCAGGTTGGCACAGTAGGGGGCACAGGTGGTGCATCAGCCAGTCATCTCAGTCATCTCAGTCAGTCGACCCGTGGCACCTGGGTCTGCCCCGTGACCTCCTGCCAGCGGGCGTTCGACACTTCACGTGGCCTCAGGGTGCACATAGCCTGGCACAAGCGTCGTGGTGACGTCACCGCCACTTAGTGGCGAATTGCGGTTATTGTTGTGTGTGTCTGTGTGTGTGTCTGTGTGTGTGTCTGTCTGTGTGTGTGTCTGTGTGTGTCTGTGTGTGTGTCTGTGTGTGTGTGTGTGTGTCTGTGTGTGTGTCTGTGTGTGTGTCTGTGTGTGTGTGTGTGTGTCTGTGTGTGTGTCTGTGTGTGTGTCTCTGTGTGTGAGTGTGTGAGTGTCTGTGTGTGTGTCTGTGTGTGTGTGTGTGTCTGTGTGTGTGTCTGTGTGTGTGTCTCTGTGTGTGAGTGTGTGAGTGTCTGTGTGAGTGTCTGTGTGTGTGTCTCTGTGTCTGTGTGTGTGTGTGTCTGTGTGTGTGTCTGTGTGTGTGTGTGTCTGTGTGTGTGTCTCTGTGTGTGAGTGTGTGAGTGTCTGTGTGTGTGTCTCACTTGTTTGCTGCGTGGTTGTAGGTCACCACCTCAGCCAGGATCCACTGCTCGTCTCCATCGAGCCCCTTGACACGTGCGGCCACCTTGTCCCGGGGCTTGGCCACGTAGTCGCCAGCGGCCGAGATGGCGCCACACAGCGGGGGCGGCCTGGGGGGACCGACACAGAGGGTGGTGCAGTGGTGAGTGCACAGTGTGTGTGAGAGAGTGTGAGAGAGTGTGTGTGGTGGTGCAGTGGTTAGTGCACAGTGTGTGTGTGTGTGAGAGTGTGTGGTGCAGTGGTTAGTGCACAGTGTGTGTGTGGTGGTGCAGTGGTTAGTGCACAGTGTGTGTGTGTGTGAGAGTGTGTGGTGCAGTGGTTAGTGCACAGTGTGTGTGTGGTGGTGCAGTGGTTAGTGCACAGTGTGTGTGTGTGTGAGAGTGTGTGGTGCAGTGGTTAGTGCACAGTGTGTGTGTGGTGGTGCAGTGGTTAGTGCACTGTGTGTGTGTGTGAGAGAATGTGGTGCAGTGGTTAGCGCGCTGTGTGTGTGTGTGTGAGAGTGTGTGTGTGTGGTGCAGTGGTTAGTGCACTGTGTGAGAGAGTGTGGTGGTGCAGTGGTTAGTGCACTGTGTGTGAGAGTGTGGTGGTGCAGTGGTTAGTGCACAGTGTGAGAGAGTGTGAGAGAGTGTGGTGCAGTGGTTAGTGCACTGTGTGTGAGAGTGTGGTGGTGCAGTGGTTAGTGCACTGTGTGTGTGTGTGGTGGTGCAGTGGTTAGTGCACAGTGTGTGTGTGTGTGAGAGTGTGTGTGTGTGGTGCAGTGGTTAGTGCACAGTGTGAGTGTGTGTGAGAGAGTGTGGTGCAGTGGTTAGTGCACAGTGTGTGTGTGGTGGTGCAGTGGTTAGTGCACAGTGTGTGTGTGTGTGAGAATGTGGTGCAGTGGTTAGCGCGCTGTGTGTGTGAGAGAGTGTGTGTGTGTGGTGCAGTGGTTAGTGCACTGTGTGATAGAGTGTGGTGGTGCAGTGGTTAGTGCACTGTGTGTGTGTGTGTGTGAGAGAGTGTGGTGGAGTGGTTAGTGCACTGTGTGTGTGGTGGTGCAGTGGTTAGTGCACTGTGTGTGTGTGTGTGGTGCAGTGGTTAGTGCACTGTGTGAGAGAGTGTGTGTGTGGTGGTGCAGTGGTTAGTGCACTGTGTGTGTGTGGTGGTGCAGTGGTTAGTGCACTGTGTGTGTGTGTGGTGCAGTGGTTAGTGCACTGTGTGTGAGTGTGGGGAGTGGTGGTGCAGTGGTTAGTGCACTGTGTGTGTGTGGGGAGTGGTGGTGCAGTGGTTAGTGCACTGTGTGTGTGTGTGGGGAGTGGTGGTGCAGTGGTTAGTGCACTGTGTGTGTGTGTGGGGAGTGGTGGTGCAGTGGTTAGTGCACTGTGTGTGTGAAGGTGGGGAGTGGTGGTGCAGTGGTTAGCGCACTGTGTGTGTGTGAGAGCGTGGGGAGTGGTGGTGCAGTGGTTAGCGCAATGTGCGTGAGAGAGCGTGAGGAGTGGTGGTGCAGCGGTTAGCGCACTGTGTGTGTGTGAGAGAGTGTGGGGAGTGGTGGTGCAGTGGTTAGCGCGCTGTGTGTGAGAGAGCGTGGGGAGTGGTGGTGCAGTGGTTAGCGTGCATTCGCGAATTCTGCATTTGTGACCGGTGTTTAAAAAGTTTACTGTGAACATAAACTCCTCCCCTCCCTCCCTCTCTCTCCCCCCTCCCTCTCCCCCCCTCCCTCTCTCCCCCCCTCCCTCTCTCCACCCCTCCCTCTCTCCCCCTCTCCCCCCCTCCCTCTCTTCCCCCTCCCTCTCCCCCCTCCCTCTCCCCCTTCCCTCTCTTCCCCCTCCCTCTCTCCCCCTCTCCCCCCCTCCCTCTCTTCCCCCTCCCTCTCCCCCCCTCCCTCTCCCCCTTCCCTCTCTTCCCCCTCCCTCTCTCCCCCCCTCCCTCTCCCCCCCTCCCTCTCTTCCCCCTCCCTCTCTTCCCCCTCCCTCTCTTCCCCCTCCCTCTCTTCCCCCTCCCTCTCTTCCCCCTCCCTCTCCCCCCCTCCCTCTCTCCCCCCCCCTCCCTCTCTCCCCCCCACCCTCTGCCCCCCTCCCTCCCCCCCTCCCTCCCCCCCTCCCTCTCCCCCCCTCCCTCTCTTCCCCCTCCCTCTCCCCCCTCCCTCTCTTCCCCCTCCCTCTCTCCCCCCCTCTCTCCCCCCCTCCCTCTCCCCCCCTCCCTCTCTTCCCCCTCCCTCTCTTCCCCCTCCCTCTCCCCCCCTCCCTCTCCCCCCCTCCCTCTCCCCCCCTCCCTCTCCCCCCCTCCCTCTCCCCCCTCCCTCTCTCCCCCCTCCCTCTCCCCCCTCCCTCTCTCCCCCCCTCCCTCTGCCCCCCTCCCTCTGCCCCCCTCCCTCTCTCTCCCCTCCCTCTCTCTCCCCTCCCTCTCTCCCCCCTCCCTCTCTCCCCTCCCTCTCTCCCCCCTCCCTCTCTCCCCCCTCCCTCTCCCCCCTCCCTCTCTCCCCTCCCCCCTCCCTCTCTCCCCTCCCTCTCTCCCCCCTCCCTCTCCCCCCTCCCTCTCTCTCCCCTCCCTCTCCCCCCCTCCCTCTCCCCCCCTCCCTCTCCCCCCTCCCTCTCTCCCCCCTCCCTCTCCCCCCCTCCCTCTCTCCCCCCCTCCCTCTCCCCCCCTCCCTCTGCCCCCCTCCCTCTCTCCCCCCCTCCCTCTCTCCCCTCCCTCTCTCCCCCCTCCCTCTCCCCCCTCCCTCTCTCCCCCCCTCCCTCTGCCCCCCTCCCTCTCTCCCCTCCCTCTCCTCCCCTCCCTCTCCCCCCCTCCCTCTCCCCCCCTCCCTCTGCCCCCCTCCCTCTCTCTCCCCTCCCTCTCTCCCCCCTCCCTCTCTCCCCTCCCTCTCTCACCCCCTCCCTCTGCCCTCCTCCCTCTCTCACCCCCTCCCTCTCTCCCCCCTCCCTTTCCCCCCTCCCTCTCTCCCCCCCTCCCTCTGCCCCCCCTCCCTCTCTCCCCTCCCTCTCCCCCCTCCCTCTCCCCCCCTCCCTCTCCCCTCCCTCTCTCCCCCCTCCCTCTCTCACTTCTCCCCCGGCTTGCCGATCCACAGGGGCAGGGTGAGGGCGGACTGCTGGAGGATGGTCATGAGCACTCCACGCCGCATCGTCTTGCGTGGAGGCTCCGAGTCGTAGGAGCCGGCATTTCGCGCTGCTGCACACAGACACACACACACACAGACACGCACACATGCACACACACGCACACACACAGACACACACAGACACATACACACGCACACACACAGACACACACAGACACACGCACACACACACACGCACACACACACACGCACACACACAGATACACACGCACGCACGCACACACATGGACGCGCACACACATGCACGCACACGCACAGATGGGTGAGTGGGTGGGTGAGTAGGTGGGTGAATAGGTGAGTGGGTGGGTGAGTGGGTGGATGAGTGGGTGGGTGAGTGGGTGGGTAAATGGGTGGATGAGTGGGTGGATGAGTGGGTACGTGGGTGAGTGAGTGGGTGAGTGAGTGGGTACGTGGGTGAGTGAGTGGGTGGGTGAGTGAGTGGGTGAGTGGGTGGGTGAGTGAGTGGGTGAGTGGGTGGGTGAGTGAGTGGGTACGTGGGTGAGTGAGTGGATGAGTGAGTGGGTACGTGGGTGAGTGAGTGGGTGGGTAAATGGGTGGATGAGTGGGTGGATGAGTGGGTACGTGGGTGAGTGAGTGGGTGAGTGAGTGGGTGAGTGAGTGGGTGAGTGGGTGGGTGAGTGAGTGGGTGAGTGGGTGGGTGAGTGGGTGAGTGGGTGGGTGAGTGAGTGGGTGAGTGGGTGGGTGAGTGAGTGGGTGAGTGGGTGGGTGAGTGGGTACGTGGGTGAGTGAGTGGGTGAGTGAGTGGGTGAGTGGTGAGTGAGTGGGTGAGTGGGTGGGTGAGTGAGTGGGTGAGTGGTGAGTGAGTGGGTGAGTGGGTGGGTGAGTGAGTGGGTGAGTGGTGAGTGAGTGGGTGAGTGGGTGGGTGAGTGAGTGGGTGAGTGGTGAGTGAGTGGGTGAGTGGGTGGGTGAGTGAGTGGGTACGTGGGTGGGTGAGTGAGTGGGTGAGTGGGTGGGTGAGTGAGTGGGTGGGTGAGTGAGTGGGTACGTGGGTGAGTGAGTGGGTGGGTGAGTGGGTACGTGGGTGAGTGGGTGGGTGAGTGGGTGAGTGGGTGGGTGAGTGAGTGGGTACGTGGATGAGTGAGTGGGTGGGTGAGTGAGTGGGTGAGTGGGTGGTTGAGTGGGTGGGTGAGTGGGTGAGTGGGTGGGTGAGTGAGTGGGTACGTGGGTGAGTGAGTGGGTGAGTGGGTGGGTGAGTGAGTGGGTGAGTGAGTGAGTGGGTGAGTGAGTGAGTGAGTGGGTGAGTGGGTGAGTGAGTGGGTGAGTGAGTGGGTGAGTGGTGAGTGGGTGAGTGGGTGAGTGGGTGAGTGGGTGGGTGAGTGAGTGGGTACGTGGGTGAGTGAGTGGTTGACCCTCACCAATTCTCCTCTCGTCGATTTGTGTTTTTATCTCTGCGATCTTGTCCAGAGTTTTGCGTAAGATGCTGCGTGGGGGGGGGGGGGGTGGGGGGAGGTGCAAGGTCGGTTTCTTTGCTGAGAGTTCAGTGTCCCCGTGTGTCCCCGTGTGTCCCCGTGTCTCCCCGTGTGTCCCCGTGTGTCCCCGTGTCTCCCCGTGTGTCCCCGTGTGTCCTCGTGTGTCCCCGTGTCTCCTCGTGTGTCCCCGTGTCTCCCCGTGTCTCCCCGTGTGTCCCCGTGTCTCCCCGTGTCCCCCCATGTCTCCCCGTGTGTCCCCGTGTCTCCCCGTGTGTCTCCCCGTGTCTCCCCGTGTCTCCCCGTGTCTCCCCGTGTCTCCCCGTGTCTCCCCGTGTGTCCCCGTGTCTCCCCGTGTGTCCCCGTGTCTCCCCGTGTCTCCCCGTGTGTCCCCGTGTCTCCCCGTGTCTCCCCGTGTCTCCCCGTGTGTCCCCGTGTCTCCCCGTGTGTCCCCGTGTGTCCCCGTGTCTCCCCGTGTGTCCCCGTGTCTCCCCGTGTCTCCCCGTGTCTCCCCGTGTCTCCCCGTGTGTCCCCGTGTCTCCCCGTGTGTCCCCGTGTCTCCCCGTGTCTCCCCGTGTCTCCCCGTGTCTCTCCGTGTGTCCCCGTGTGTCCCCGTGTCTCCCCGTGTCTCCCCGTGTCTCCCCGTGTCTCCCCGTGTCTCCCCGTGTCTCTCCGTGTCTCCCCGTGTCTCCCCGTGTCTCCCCGTGTCTCCCCGTGTGTCTCCCCGTGTGTCTCCCCGTGTGTCTCCCCGTGTCTCCCCGTGTCTCCCCGTGTCTCCCCGTGTGTCCCCGTGTCTCCCCGTGTCTCCCCGTGTCTCCCCGTGTCTCCCCGTGTCTCCCCGTGTCTCCCCGTGTCTCCCCGTGTGTCCCCGTGTGTCCCCGTGTGTCCCCGTGTGTCCCCGTGTGTCCCCGTGTCTCCCCGTGTCTCTCTGTGTCCCCGTGTGTCCCCGTGTGTCCCCGTGTGTCTCTGTGTCTCCCCGTGTGTCCCCGTGTCTCCCCGTGTGTCTCCACGTGTCTCCCCGTGTCTCCCCGTGTCTCCCCGTGTCTCCCCGTGTCTCCCCGTGTGTCCCCGTGTCTCCCCGTGTGTCCCCGTGTCTCCCCGTGTCTCCCCGTGTCTCCCCGTGTCTCCCCGTGTCTCCCCGTGTCTCCCCGTGTCTCCCCGTGTCTCCCCGTGTCTCCCCGTGTCTCCCCGTGTGTCCCCGTGTCTCCCCGTGTCTCCCCGTGTGTCCCCGTGTCTCCCCGTGTGTCCCCGTGTCTCCCCGTGTGTCCCCGTGTGTCCCCGTGTCTCTGTCTCCCCGTGTCTCCCCGTGTGTCCCCGTGTGTCCCCGTGTCTCCCCGTGTCTCCCCGTGTCTCCCCGTGTCTCCCCGTGTGTCCCCGTGTCTCCCCGTGTCTCCCCGTGTGTCCCCGTGTCTCCCCGTGTCTCCCCGTGTCTCCCCGTGTCTCCCCGAGTCTCCCCGTGTCTCCCCGTGTCTCCCCGTGTGTCTCCCCGTGTGTCTCCCCGTGTCTCCCCGTGTCTCCCCGTGTCTCCCCGTGTCTCCCCGTGTCTCCCCGTGTCTCCCCGTGTCTCCCCGTGTCTCCCCGTGTCTCCCCGTGTCTCCCCGTGTGTCCCCGTGTCTCCCTGTGTCTCCCTGTGTGTCCCCGTGTGTCTCCCCGTGTGTCTCCCCGTGTCTCCCCGTGTCTCCCCGTGTGTCCCCGTGTCTCCCCGTGTGTCCCCGTGTCTCCCCGTGTCTCCCCGTGTCTCCCCGTGTCTCCCCGTGTGTCCCCGTGTCTCCCCGTGTCTCCCCGTGTGTCCCCGTGTCTCCCCCACGTCTCCCCGTGTCTCCCCGTGTGTCCCCGTGTCTCCCCCACGTCTCCCCGTGTCTCCCCGTGTCTCCCCGTGTCTCCCCGTGTCTCCCCGTGTCTCCCCGTGTCTCCCCGTGTGTCCCCGTGTCTCCCCGTGTCTCCCCGTGTCTCCCCGTGTGTCCCCGTGTCTCCCCGTGTCTCCCCGTGTCTCCCCGTGTGTCCCCGTGTCTCCCCGTGTCTCCCCGTGTCTCCCCGTGTCTCCCCGTGTGTCCCCGTGTCTCCCCGTGTCTCCCCGTGTCTCCCCGTGTCTCCCCGTGTCTCCCCGTGTCTCCCCGTGTCTTCCCCCCACCGCGTGCCCCTCACTTGCACTCAGCCTCCGCGTCAGCCCGGGCTGTGGTGTAGAGGCCCTTGAGCTTCGTCCGGTAGTAGGGGGTGACTGGAGACACGCAGAGACACGTGGGGACACGCAGAGACACGTGGGGACACGCAGAGACACGTGGGGACACGTGGGGACACGCAGAGACACGTGGGGACACGCAGAGACACGTGGGGACACGCAGAGACACGCAGAGACACGTGGGGACACGCAGAGACACGTGGGGACACGCAGAGACACGTGGGGACACGCAGAGACACGTGGGGACACGCAGAGACACGTGGGGACACGTGGGGACACGCAGAGACACGTGGGGAGACGCAGAGACACGTGGGGACACACAGAGACACGCAGAGACACGTGGGGACACGTGGGGACACGTGGGGACGTGTGGGGACACGTGGAGACACGTGGGGACACGCAGAGACACGGGGACGTGTGGAGACATGTGGGGACATGCAGAGACACGCAGAGACACGTGGAGACACGCAGAGACACGTGGGGACACACGGGGACACGTGGGGACACGCAGAGACACGTGGGGACGTGTGGGGACACGTGGGGACGTGTGGGGACACGTGGAGACACACGGGGACATTAGAAGACACGGGTAGACTCAGGGAGACACAAAGAGATGGGGAGAGACTCGGGGAGACACGGGGAGACACGGCTAGACGCAGGGAGACTCGGGGAGACACAGGGAGACACGGCTAGCCTCAGGGAGACACGGCTAGACTCAGGGAGACACGGGGAGACACGGCTAGATGCAGGGAGACACGGGGAGACACGGCTAGACTCGGGGAGACACGGGGAGACACGGCTAGACGCAGGGAGACACAGGGAGACACGGCTAGCCTCAGGGAGACACGGCTAGACGCAGGGAGACACGGGGAGACACGGCTAGACTCAGGGAGACACGGGGAGACACGGCTAGACGCAGGGAGACACGGGGAGACACGGCTAGACTCGGGGAGACACGGGGAGACACGGCTAGACGCAGGGAGACACAGGGAGACACGGGGAGACACGGGGAGACACGGGGGAGACACGGGGAGACACGGGGAGACACGGGGAGACTCGGGGAGACACGGGGAGACACGGGGAGACACAGGGAGACTCGGGGAGACACGGGGAGACACGGGGAGACACGGGGAGACACGGGGAGACTCGGGGAGACACGGGGAGACACGGGGAGACACGGGGAGACACGGGGAGACACGGGGAGACACGGGGAGACACGCACTCTTCTGCTCTGTCTGCATGCGCTCGTGAGTCTTCTGAATGTTCACCAGATTGTGTTCACTCCGCGACCTCTCCTCCTGCAACACACAAAGGTCACCCGCTTAGCTTCTTAATGTCGGGGCAAGTGCTGTTGGTAGCGCGTAGCACCACCTGTGATATATACACAAAGCTCCCCCAGGTAGCCTCTAGCAGGCTGTAGGGGCAAGTGCCGCTAGTAGCGAGTAACACCACCTATGATGCACACACAGACAAAGCTCCCCCAGGTAGCCTCTAGCAGGGCTGTAGGGGCAAGTGCCGCTAGTAGCGAGTAGCACCACCTATGATACACACACAAAGCTCCCCCAGGTAGCCTCTAGCAGGCTGTAGGGGCAAGTGCCGCTAGTAGCGAGTAGCACCACCTATGATACACACACAAAGCTCCCCCAGGTAGCCTCTAGCAGGGCTGTAGGGGCAAGTGCCGCTAGTAGCGAGTAGCAGCAGCGCCTATGAAGGCTGCCGACACTGTGGCACCCGAGGGGATGGGTGGCCAACACCCCGCCCGGCCACCTTTGTCTCCCCAGTGCTGATGCTTACCACACACGACTGCACCAGGTCACCCATTTAACCCTCACGTACCACAGTTGTGAGATGTCAACTACCTCGCCTGGTATACAGGAGGTCGTGGGTTCGATCCCGACCCCTGCTGTATGTTTGGAGTTTGTGTGCCTCTCTCTCTCTCTCCCCGTGGCCGTGTGGATTGTTCTCCGGGTCCACCGGTTTTCACATTTTGAATTGTGCGTTTACAGTGCGGCCGAACGACGGTAATTAATTCCACGAAACCGGTCGTTACGATCTTGATCTGAAGCTTTCGTGACTGCAGGAATCCAAATTCCTTGGTTATTTCGGTCACCACGTAGTTAGAAACGAAACGAAATTATTTCATTTATACCTACGTGACTTTACCGAAAGAAACAGAGTTTAAATTTTGATTTAAAGCTTTCGTGACTGCAGTAATTCATATTCTTAGTTCTTTCGGTAAAGTCACGTTGAAGGGAAACAACAAAATAATAAAATATATATAACAATAAAAATTCTCACGACCGTAACTCTGTTACGACATTTTGGTGGTTAAGCGAGTACAGGAATTTTCACGTCAAAGGCTTAATTCGTTCCGATAGCATAACAAAAAGCGTACTCTATAATATTCTAACAATGGATAGTTAATACATGAAGACACTGACAACATTATAAACACACAACATTAAAAGCAGCACGGTTAATCGATCCATTAATTGACGTTTACTGTACCTACAACAGGCCGTCGCCACAGGGGCCTCACGGAGGCCTGTGGTAAAGTGGCTGGTCAGTTTAACGCGTTGGCGTTCGTGACCAACATCGCCCATAACGCAGGTGGTCTCTGTGGGTTAGATCGCTTGAATGTGTGTCGTTAAAACCCCCCACCACCCGACACAGCCAACGAGTAAGGGTTTGTGACGTCAACAGAACGCGCCAATTCGCCACTGGCACAGCACAGCGGTTGTGTTGGGAGGGCCCAGCAATTACAAGTGGCGTCATCAGCGAGTTGCAAGTTACTGGCGACACGTCACGGCACCTCAGGTTGCCAATGTTGTGGCTTGGCTCTCCAACACACAACCGGTGGCTTCTGAGAGACAGCTATGCAGCTCAGCGGGGCCTTACCTGGTAACTCTAAACGTAGTTTCAGTGTGAGTCCCTGTGGGTCTCTATGAGTATGGGTCTCTAGGAGTCTCTATGGGTCTCTGTAATGTCCACGTGACGATGATGATGACGATGATGAGGATATCAGCCACTTTGTTGAGCCGCTATCATTTGTTGATGGCCAGGTCGCTTTACCTGGTAAAATAAAACAAATAGTTGAATATCCTTAGTTTTTTTCGGTAAAGTCACGTTGAAGAGAAACAACAAAATAATGAAATTTATATAAAACAATAAAAAATTCTCACGACGTTTTGACCATAACTCAAAGGGTCGTCTTCAGGTGTGTTGGTTCGCATAAATTTATTTGTAAACGGCGCATTTATTTATTTATTTATAAATGCGCCGTTTACAAATAAATTTATGCGAACCAACACACCTGAAGACGACCGTTTGAGTTATGGTCGAAACGTCGTGAGAATTTTTTATTGTTTATATATATTTTATTATTTTGTTGTTTCTCTTCAACGTGACTTTACCGAAAAAACTAAGAATATGAATTACTGCAGTCACGAAAGCTTTAAATCAAAAATAGTTGAATAGTTTCGCCCTTTCTCATTCCGAGTATCAGAATCAGATTGGAATCCAGTGAGCTATAGAAGGTTACAACAGCAAACACAATAATACACAAATACAGCAGGAGTGTAAAGTCTTGGAAAGGTCAACAAATCACTTTAAAACGTACAAATAAATATTTAAAAAAATCTTACTGGGACAGACCCAGCAGGTGTCACATGGCTTGACTGCTGTGCCCACCAAAGACAAAGATCCCCCGGGTGGTTTGTAACAGACTGTTGGGGCAAGTGCTGTTAGCAGCAGCGCCTATGAAGGCGAGCGGCAACTGTGGCACACAGAGGGGGTGGGTGGCCAGCACCACCACGCCCGGCCGCCTTTGTCTCTCTCCAGTGGTGATGTTTATTCCACACCACTCATTTGAGGCCGAGTCGACCTAGGGGAGGGAGGCCCAGGACCGGTTTAGATAATCGCTATCACTGCCGGTGTCGGTGGCCGTGAGTGGGAATCGAACTCAGGTCTTTGCCGGGTTCGTAGCGCAGCAGCGTTAACCGCTGCACCACCATTCACCACGTATCAGAGCATTCATAGCTTGAGGTGAGCAAAGATATCATGGAATACCTTTTTTGCCAGTATCAAAGTATGAAACATAAGAACAGGATTTACAAAACAGTTGTTCAGATGTTCAAACACCGAAGAGATACCGTTCGCACCTATTTGGTGTTTGAACATCTTAACACCCGGAGAGGCACTGCCGGGCAAAGACGTTCTGGCAAATCGTGCGATGCCTTAGGAGGGGCCGAGGGGACGCGGCCCAGGCTGTGCTCAGTACGGGCGGCGTAACATCGACCTCAAGGACGGAGATAGCCGAGCGGTGGAAGGAACAGTGTCAGGGACTCCTCGACCCGGTGGACGTGCCCCCCTCTCTGGGGGGTCGGATCCACGGCGGCCGCCGAAGTCGCTGTGGCGGCCGAGGGCCTTTGTAGCGGAAAGGCTGCTGGGGTCGAGGAGATTCACCTGGGGCTGTTTCGAGCGCTGGACAGTGTAAGGGGCGGCGTCGTGGCGGTTAACGCGCCTCTTCAATGTCGCACGCCAGGCGGGTAACGGCACCTCTGGATTGGCAAACTGGGGTCGTGGTTCCCATTTTTAAGAGAGGGGATCAGGGGGGGTGTGCTCCGACTACGGAGGGCTCACACTTCTCAGCGTCCCGGGTAAAGCCTCCGCCAGAGTGCTGGAGAGGAGGCTCCGCCCGGTGGCCGAGACTCAGATTCTGGAGGAACAATGCGGATTCCGATGTTAGAACAATGGACCTGCTCTTTTTCCCTCTCACAGACATCTGAGGGGTCATGGGATTATGCTTCTCCAGTCTAACTCTAACTCAGTAGACTTGGAAACGCCATACGACGGTGTTCCCCGCAACGTCTTGCGGGAGGGCGCTGCGGGAGTACGATGTACCGGTGCCGCTTTTGTGTCCATATCCTTGGTGTTTAGTCAAAGTCGTTCACTGTGGGTGCTGGACTCCGCCAATGGTGCGTCTCGTCTCCACTCCTGGTTGTGATTTCCATGGGCGGGATATCGAGGCACAGCCGAGGTGTGCAAAGTATCCAGCACGGCGGGGGGGGGGGCATGGAGGTGGCGTCGCTGCTTTTTATAACAACACTGTTAATGAACTTGCCGCGTTGTCCGTTTACATTATTTGGAATCTTTGGTGCTTAATATCTACAAAGCCTAACAGGCTGAAATTCTCTACACAGACTCGGTCGAGGTCCCGCCAATTGTGGCCCTATTCGTGTTTTTAACAACATTTTAACAATCGTACATTCCACCCCTCCTTTTTTAAATCACGAACGGTCGCGCCCACCTTCGACGGCAAAACGTCTGGTCCAATCACAGCGGCTGTTGCTGGTCAGCCTATGACCAATGAAACGAGCGCTCTTACTGCCGCTCGTCATGGCGACGGAGCGGCCGCTGTGCTTCCCTATTCCTAAGCGCGAGAGCAACAAGCTCACAAAGACAACGACATTGTCCGGACACACATGCTTTTATATTTGCACTCTAAAGTAGAAAATTAATTATTTTGACCCCGGGATGAATCGAATGTGATTTGCTCGATAAAATTGGGTGGCTTCCTTTCGACGTGTTAAATTGTCTTCACACAAGGCGCTGTCCTCGCTCTGCGATCTCCAGCGTGCTCCTGAACGGTTTGATGTCGAGTGTTCAGCGGCTGGGATGAGGATCAGCGCCTCCAAATCTGAGGTCACGGTTCACCCCCGGGAGAGGGTGGATTGTGTTCTCCGGGTGGAGTTCAAGTACCTCGGGGTCTCTTTCGCGAGTGACGGTAAGCGGGAGATCGGCCGGCGTATCGGTGCGGCGTCCGCAGTGTTGCGGGAGCCGAGCTCTTGAACAAAGTTCTCGGTTCGCAGGTCCATCTACGTTCTCACCCTCACCCCATGGTCATGAGCTTTGGGTAATGGCCGAAAGGAAGAGATCGCTGGGACAAAGGGGCCGAAATTAAGGTTCTCCGCAGGGTTGCCAGCCTCAGTCTCCGTGATCGGGTGAGGAGGAATCAGGGGACAGCCTCAGAGTGGAGCCGCTGCTCCTCCTGATCGAGAGGAGCCTGCTGAGGTGGTCCAGGCACCCGGTAAGGATTCCCCCCGGTCGACTCCCCCTGCAACTCTACCAGATCAGCCCAGGACACGTTGCTGGCGGTGGGACGATGTTACTCGGCTGGCCTGGGAACGCCTGGGAATTCCCCAGAAAGAGCTAGAGTCTGTGTAGTGTATAGTGTGGTAGTAGTGTATAGTGTGGTAGTAGTGTATAGTGTAGTAGTGTGTAGTGTAGTAGTAGTGTG